CGAGGTCCAACCCGACCTTTGAAACGCGCTGTGACCAACAAAAAAGTATAAGAAACGATAGTATCAGAGGAAAATGCAGATCATGACACACGCCACTCAAGCACACATTCCTCCTGCCACTGCTCTTTGACAACGCGTCATATTCGTGTTGTTTAGGCGTCCTGGATGTCGACGCGTCCGTTGAAGGTGGGAATGGCGTCACTTTCGGGCCGGTAGCCGTCCTGGTCAGAGATGAAGGACAGATAGGTGACGGTGCCGTCGGGATGGGTGAACTCGTGGCTTCCTGATGTGGTGTAGCTGCCAGTCTCCGGCTCAAGGCCCGGGTAGGACAGGCCAGACTCCTCGCGAGCAATGCCGTTTGACGTCTCGAAACTGTTGGATGAAACAATAGTTGGGATTAATTATGCCGATGCTTCAGAACGGGTTTTTCGGGTACTTAATATATGTTTTAAAGGCGTTAAGACTGCGTTGAAAACTTCTTTATTCTTTCCTGGGGAGTTGACAGGTGACCCTCTGGAGCGGAGTATGTACGAGGCATGCAGACGTTTTTACCACACACGTTAGGGTAAACTCTCCTCATTTACCCTCTTACATAGGATACATCTGTTGTGTTACTCTCTGTTTCAGGGTAACGCTTTACTTTATCCTCTGCAGAAGAGTAAGTTTACCCCACAGTGCGTCTGCGTCTGTGTGCCTCGTACTCTCTCCCAGCGGATTAACTCTCCAGGAAAGAATACACAAGTTTTCGGCGTGTGACATGATAAGTATCGAGAGCACTACAGTGCCAAGAGCGTACTGGAACTACAAACAAATTAAAAGTAATGTTATCTAGAACAGTGCGTACCTGAAGTCGTAGGACTGGTCCTCGCGGAGCTCATTTACATACTTCAGGATAGTGGCATCCTTCTCACTCTGGGGCCGGGCCAGGGCCGCGACGGCGAGGCACAGCACGATCAGCTGTGGACAAGGACAAAAATCGCGTCAAAGTGGCTGCAGATAGCATTGGTCATTACACTTATTCATCATACAAACGAAGACACGTCAGCAAAGAAATTAAGCGGCACTGATGTAGAAAGTTAACGAGGAATTGTAGTCGATAGGCGAACTACGAAGGCGCATCACCGCATTTCGTTCATGAGCACTGATGGTTTCAGTCTGAGCTTCACACAATATCCACTTCACAACCACTGCGTTCGCTGGCTTCTGATCACTTACGAGCTTCATCTTGGTGTGATGTGTGGTGGGCAGTGTGTGCGGTGCTGGAAACAACCTCAGCTTATATATTGCACCGGTGTCGACAGATGCAGGTGACATGAAACGCCGATCCCGCTCAAATCTGGACATTTTTCATGTGTATCATCCAACGAAGGGTGCAAACATGGGATTTGACGGCATCTTGGTGTTGTCGCGTGGTTTTTACGTGTCAGACTTCAGGGAAATGTCCTTCAGCTACCTGTACCTGCAGCAGAGCAGCATGTCACACTACTTGTCGATGGCGACAGTGCCGCACAATTGGGGCAGTGATGATCCGATGGAAACCTGTTCCGTTATTTTGTAATTCAGGCCTCTACGATACTCATTTCGTGATATGTTTATTCAATACATTATACAAACATCAGAAGGTAGCGGTTTATTACCTATGTTTCAAAGACATATCACACTCACACATCATACCAGATGTGTTGGTGTATTTTCGGTTTCATAGAGTTACAAATTCGATTTTAGCGACTCCCAACACATTGCAGTTTAGCATACCGCAAACACTAGCTTCCATCGAACATATAATAATTAAACAATTTGGAACATGAATGGATCATCTTTTAAAACACAACTCTAGACATCTTGGATATCCACACGCCCATTGAACACTGGAATCGCGTCACTTTCGGCCCTGTAGCCGTCCTCATCCGCGATGAACGACAGATAGGTGATTGTGCCGTCGGGGTGGGTGAACTCGTAGCTGCCCGACTGAGTGTAGCTGCCTGTCTCGGGGTCGGCGCCAGGGTAGGAAACTCCAGACTCCTCCCGAATTATCCCGTTAGAGGTCTCAAGTCTGGAAAAGATGGGAGGCGTGTGAAGTTTGAAACCAGTTAGTTAAAACTCAACGGAAGGTTTTCTCCAATTAGTTGGAACATTGTACTCACGCATCCAGCATGAAAGACGAACAATCGCTCTAAATTATCTACTGCCCATTGCCAGGTGCAAGAAAATTCATCTTATTCATTGACCACAGCTACCAGGACGGTTTGGAGAGTGTGATACAGATTGTTGAACTTGTGAACCTGTGACAGAAGCAATAAGTATCTCTATTAAACCGGAGCAACATTTCGACACAGTTCATCCCCCCCGCCTGATTTTTAGATGTTATTATTGCTTTAGACCATAAATAAACCACACCTAAATAAGCGTTCTGCACTAACCATCACCTTACATATGGACCTCCGTCTGATACAGTTCAAGTGACTAAGTTCAAAAGTGGACAGGTACTCACGAGAAGTCGTAGTTCTGGTTCTCTCTGAGTTCGTTGAAGTAATCGACGATGGTCGCGTCTTTTTCATCCTGAGGCCGGGAGAAAGCCACAGAAGCCAAACAAAGGATGACTACCTGCAATGAAATCGCACCACAACTCACAGGTCAAGCAGGTACAGATATCAAAACATTTTGAAGCAATGCAAGAATGTACCATATGTGCTTTACCACAAAGCGGTGTCTTTAACTCCAAATAAAATGCGTGCTTATCCGCCAATGAAACGCATGTGACAAACTGGGTCTGCTTACAAGCCTCATCGCCGCCAGGCATTGAAGTGGCCCTTACCAGCGTCCAAGACTCCCTTTTGTACCGTTCGCTGCGGCGTGCGGCTGCGACCCAGCACGCTCCTACTCCCCGTGCGTGAGGTGCCTCCGACGGTCACAGCAGGCGCGTGTCGCTGTGGTCGACCCCGCCGCCGCAGGCCGTGACAACTCGTGGCCGATCGTCCCAGTCGCGGACATAACCTCGAGAACACGCACTTGAAGGCCATAAGGACCTGGACCTCTTTCACACTGGCACCTACCGTCTCCGTCACAACTCACAAACTCGCTTGGTCACTTGATCAGTCCATCCGTATTCGGTCACAGCCGGTCAGAGCTAGTTCTAAGTTCTGGACGACGGTGAAAACAGGGCGCCTGGGGCGATTTGATCAAGGCTCTTTAAATTTACTTGCACAAATCACGTGACAATCACTGTGTAGAAGGCATCGAGAGGGGGAGAACTTCTCAATAGTCACGTGACCAAACATGCCCTCCGGCGCCCTGTTTTCAACGGCGTCCGTGGTTCTCTATATACCGTGGAGTGAGGTCAGGGCCGGTCCGTTCCGACCCGCGCAGCTCCCCGACCTTCGACCCCATGCCACCGGGCGGTCGGCCGGTCAGCTGGGCCCAGCGGCAGCCCAGCCGCGCGTGCCCGGCGCTAGTCGGGAGGGACCTAACACAAAACTAACACATTAGAATAGTATAAAGGGCACTGCCCATAGCAACATCGACATATCTTTAGGGTAACATGGATACTGATTACATCCCAACAGTCGCCGCCAAATAAAGAAGCTTAACAAAATGAAAAGAAAGGACCAATTCATACACAAAGGTTACTGTTCACTGAGCCAGCGAGCCTTGGATTTGCTTCGTGAGATCTACGTAGACCGCTCCGGTTGTTTTTCAATAGAAAAACACAATTCTAACGAATAGTGTTTGTCTAATGAAACAACAACCTGCGGTTAAGAAAATGATTGGCTATGCTGGCATTCGCTAAAATAGTAATGCCTGGTAATGATTAGCAAACAGTGCATTGCATACTAATCTTTCGATAGTCTGTAGGTTCACTACTCATCCTTTATGACATTCCTGTGAGCGCTACTTTATATAGGTCGCCTTATCTCATACTACAGAGACGACGACCAAACATTTCAGACCGGTCTCGGATGGAAAATGCCCGCATCAACTAACCCACCGCCCTCAGGGTCCCGGGGGAAGTCGAGCTCGGCCTAAAATGCTGACCAGTCTCAAGAGGATACTGCTGGCACGACCTCGGGCTGCTCTGCTGCGTCGAGTTGTCACTGCACGATATCGGCGGCCAGCGACCTAAAAATAGGTGCCGCTAGACTTGCAAGATGGCGTACAGTATACAGCCGCACCATGAGACACCCTTTTTGAATTGGTCTTCAAACTACACCGGGTGACATCCGTGACAGCTGCTGATGCAAATCATTGGAATATGCCATGTAACTATGTTTAAGATGAATATGCCGATAAGTACTAATCCAAATTAATGTTTGGCCAATGAATGGGCATTTCGTATTTCCAAATAAGAAATGGGCTAATTAGATCAAACGATAATCGGGCCATGGATGCACGCGATTAGCCATAACACGTAAGCTATCATCTTTATCAAATGATGCACCCCTAGTGTGTCTTGATTATGTTTGTCTCCTCTTTTGCCTCGTTTTTAATGTTCTTTTACCTTCTGCTATAGAAGGAAAAATGCCGACTAAATTTACTAAATCAATCAATTGTGTGTTCTCAATAGGTTCTGGCTTTTCAATTACAAAACATAATCGCATTAAGATAAAAATACACTATTCTAGTTATTTGTCTCTTGTTGAGTGCTCTGCGACAACGGGAAAGCAAACAAGCCTCACCAATTTGGATTCAAAACGCATTTGTGTGAATCTGGGTCGACCTGAGCCTAGAAATTTAACCGGAGTCGCTTCTGTAAAAGCGAGACAGTGTCAGGACGGCATATCTTCATGCCTCCAAAGCATTCATCTACATCAGTAGTGTCCAGGGCCCTCGGCAGAGAGACTTCTCGGACACTTGCTCACGCCAGTCTGTGAGAGTCTTACGGGACACCCACACCAAACAATTCAGCGAAGGCCTGTCGGAAGGACGTCTCTCTGGCCAAGCGCCAGTCAGAGTACCACTCAGATTTAATTACGGTTTTGGGAGCGGCAGCCACGCTGCTGCTTGTTGTTACCACAGCAGGCGGGCGGGGCTCGGGGGCGTAGCATGCCGGCGCACGAGGCCCCTGTTTGCAAAGAGCGCCCGGTCGGGGTAGTGGTGAGCGGCGCGGAGGCTGCGGTTAGTCGAGCGCCGGTACCGGTCCGCACGGGCAGCGTGCTGTTTGCAGCAGGCGACCAGTCGTTTGGTCGGCTGTCTGACCACAAACTGCTGACCACTAACTGCTGACCGCTGACCACTGACTGCTGACCACGGACTGCTGACTGCTGATAGCCAGCCTGCTGAGCGGCTCACCTCAGCCTTCAGAGAGAAGACCGCCCACCAGGGACACTGCCAGAGAGCGTCAAACCGGTACCGGTGAGCACTATGACTGAGGACATCCCTCCCATGCAGAGGAGAGATAGCCGGCTAACGACTCATGAGCAATGGGCTGCCGTTACCGGATAATTGGATGATAGCTGGATAGGATGCAGTTGATGGCCAACAGTTTTGATTCCGATTTTTTGTGAGAACTTCTTTAAGATATTCTGGGTAAAGTGGAGTTATATTAAGGCAAGGAAAACTTTAGATATGGTTATGGTTGGTAATGGTTATTATGCTATGCTATCTGTGATGCTGCTATGATTGGCTAGCCAAGCTAGCGTGTGCGTTGCAGTACGACATGCTCTAAAATGCGTTTGAACGGCAGCGTCGGCTTGTGATCGCTCCATGCTTATTTCACCTCATGAATTCATGCTCCTGATATTTAAGGAATGAAACACATCGATAAGTCTGATTAAAAAATAGCAAGTAGTTGGTAAATTCATCTGTTTGCTCCATCTCAGCAATGTGTTACCAGCCCTCTGAAATTTTGGCCACCCCTGGTCTGATTTATCACCCATGGACATCTGGAACAGGACTGACTGTCGAATTAACACATCACGCCTCATGTCTGCAATATGCATTGTTGGCATAATTGCACAACGGTCACAATGATCATAACGAGACTGTTCGAATTCCCTGTTTTACATCATCTGATAGAAGACAGGCATACACTACATGGACATTGCACTGGTCGTCGGCATTGTGCAATATGTAAATGGCAGACGGCAACTTATCTCGGCTGACTTAAATACCTAGTCATTGGCCTCAAATATGCTTGCGATTTGTTGAGCAAAGAAGGTCTCAAAAGCTTCCCTCAGCCAAAAAAAAACTTCCCTCAACCATTTTTCACTCATGAAGAGATAAGGCCCAATGGTTTCAGCAATTAATTTAGTTGGTTTGATTGTTTATGAAGTAAGTTCACATATTTTTGTCGTTTTAGATAGACGTAAAAAGCAAAATGTTTTTAAAATGAGAGTGCTAAACATCATACTTGCCGATTTGGCAAACGGCTAGTGATAAATATTTGCTCTTACTTAGGGACGTATTAATTCTCCCTTTCTTGTCAATTCCCATTGTTCCTTTCACAAGCAATTGATCCACAACAAGTGACCCCACTCAGATGAGGAAATTCAGCAGCCAGTAAAGCTGATGCTTTTCACACTCTCAATGGATACTAAAACATGCATACCTCACCTCCTAGCACTCAGACCTCGCTTACGATCCAGTGAATCAGGCTTCAAACTAAAGGTCACGAGCGCCTACTTAACTATCATGCATTATCGCATTGTTTTTGATCGCATGCGTTGTTAGTACATACGACCGATACAGCGATTCCATGCTGACATCATGCATTCGTTAACCAGGAGAACCGGTGTGGCGTTGTCTAAAAATAGACCTAGGCCGCCGGTTCCGTGACTGGCCATGTCCAGATCCAGAGAAACTGCCTGGCCCCAGTCCGCAGGTGGCGTGCTCCCATAGTTCACATGAGATCGTCTTACGACCAGCCGAGTGTAGATCTGCTCAAGACTGGGCTCCATTTTCGTTATCTTCTTGGTAACGTATTCACAGGGTTACGTGTTTACTGCGTGATGTGTTTACAAAATGACATGTTTATTGCGCGCGTGGCACATGTGTTTGGAGTGATGGGTTGCAGAGACCTTGTGGATGTGTGTTTGTATGCGCAGTGCGTGTGTTAGGGTGTGTGTATGGCAAGTGTGAGTGCCAAGTAGGGTTTACTGTGTTTATTTGAGAAGGCGAGATTGGGGTCGTTTACTTATAAATTTGTTTTCTTGTAAGCAAAGCATAAGGGCGCATGAGTCAATGAATTTAAAACCATTGATAATTAAATTCTTCTTACTTGTTCGGTACATGAGTTTTTCAGAACTTTCATATTCTTGCTCAGATAATTTGTATGGCTTTTTGTTGTTGGCTGATAAGCTTGCTAAACAGTATCATTTTATAATTCTGCATATTTTATAAGATAATGCCAGCTCAATTTCACTGAATGCTATGGGCAATTGTTATCATCGCAGCTTGAAAATGTATTAATAGCATGCACACCACAAAAATGATTGTCCGATCAAAACTGTGTCAAAGTCCTATTTACCCATGCATCGTTTGGGTATTCTTCTTTCCACGTCGCGCCATGTCAGTGTTATTCTCTAACTCAATCCCTCCGCTCCGTATGTTGACAAATAGACGTTAACGCCAGCAAGCTTCTACCACCAGTGAACGTCCAACTCGCCTCCTCTTGGGCAGGTCATGTCAGCATTGCACCCGACCCTCTCATCGCCCCATCGCGTTACTCCAGCGCCTCATACTACGCTATTGCATCAGCGTTGTAGTGGGGCTCATTCACCCCACGGCACGGGCCGTGCCTGTTGACGACCAATCACGGGCTTGGCGTGCCCAAGGGCAAGGTCACCCCGCTGAAATGCAAGGTCTCCCGGGCGTAGCGCTCCTCGCTCCGGCTCCCTGCGCCGTTACACGTCATACGCCACCACTCCCCGCCGGGCTATGCGTCACAAATGCCCCTGCGCCATTACACGTCCTACACTATCCCCCCGCGCCACTAAACGCCACACACCATTCTCCTACATCACTAAGCGCCCCCACACAGGCTACCTGCGCCACTACACGCCACAGTCACCCCCTCCGCCGCGCCGGTGCCAGCTGCGCCGGCCGGCCTGCAATCTGCATCAAACGCGCGGCGGGAGCCATAGAGAAAGGTCTCGAGACCGCCCCGGGTCTGGGAAGGCCGAAACGGTAGATATGCACCGTGTGTAGTCTGCGCAGTTGCAGGCCGGCTGCCTTCAAAGTGCAACAACCTTCCAAAATAGATTGGCTGGACATGACGCAGTGGACACGGTGTGGAACGAGCCGAAAGGTCCCGAGGGATCCCGAGGGTCCCGGAAGAGCCGATGAGGAGCCCTGGGGATCCCGCTGAGAGTCCCTACCAGACCTATCCACTATTCAGGGTACCGCATTTTCGTGGAGCTCCCAGGCAAATGAACAGTGGATTTCGCAGCAGCCCAACAACATGTTGTCAGTTTTGCTGCGGTTTGCAACAGGTCGGGCCTGGGGAGGAGCGGGGATAGGGATGGAGGCTAGATAGGGTGGTGGCCGAAATGGCGAGCGAGGGGAAGGGGAGAGGATGTAGCATGGGAAAGAAGTGGAGCGTTGGAAAAGGTAGTTTTGGATAAAATACGGTTTATTCGCTGGAAATGCGGAGTGTTCAAGTTTATTGTAACTTTACTCTGAAGAGCAGGTAGAGAGGAAACTTATGCCTCGTATATTGCCGTCTCCTCTGGTCAACAACCTGGAAATACAGAAGCCGCAGATCCAGAGAATCGCACCAGTTACCATCTCCTTAGACCACAAATCAACTACCAGCGTCCAGCCACCGTCACCCCCACAGCTCGACTACTCTCAGATTCCAAACCGGTTTGTCCCAACACCCACCGTGCGGCGGGCGGCTGCACCAACAAGATGCGATGCTGGGTTTGCACACACCAGCCCAGCGGAGGTCAGCCGTGCCGGTCTGACGATAGCGAAAATTGACCATTCTGGACGCCGCTCGACGGCTGTTATCGTGACGTCATACACTCACTGCATAATCGCGACGCGTTTGACGTCATTCGCCTACGTTACTGTGCACTGCGCAGTACGCAGCTAGGATATGGTAAATACGGGGTTGTTGTATTAGAGATCCAAAAGGATGGAACTGAGGTGTGAAAATAAAAGGAAAAACTATTAAATCAATTATTACCAATCAGGTAAAGCTATTTATGTAGATTTGGTGTTCTTAAGTTGATTGGCAGTTCACATGTTGTCGATTGCGAGTCCATGAAACAGATTAATCTAGTAATGTTATGTTTCTTTTGTAGTCTTGCATGCTATTTATTCATAGTTCACATATCCCTCTGCAATATGGTGGCCATTTGTTAGTTGTTCTCCCTTTATTCCAACAAATCGAATGATGAAAATCACTAGTAGCTTGTCATATGCGCTGACGCTGGCAAGGTAATCACTTTCACCGTAGGTCTTTCGTTTGAAGACCCTACTCTTGACCCTACTCTTAGCAGAACAACGGATTAGTAGCATATGCAGCGTCGGGATGAGATTCGTTTTAAGAAGTTTCTGCTTTGATGATTCAAACCTAAGTAATACATTTTACTCGCAGTCTGTACCTACATTTACGTGAAACTTCATAAGTCATTTGAACAAATAGTTCAGTTGGAATGCATACTTAACCAACTTTGAAAATAAAACGGTGAAACTATTTTCCCATCAGCTCGCACATCAGTGCATTGATGAAATCATGTACCAAACAATTATCCTGGTAGCTAAGGTAATGCCCTCAGCAAGCAAGCATAAGTGGCCCAAGCAGCACAAATGCAGGTAAAGATATTTCAATATCATCCCGTACCAAACCGACTAACCGATCGCGCCCACCCACCCAACCGGTTATCTTCGTGTACCGTTTTGTTTGCCGCGTATCCAATCTGATAGCTCTCCCAAACGGTGGTCTGGGCTGCGGTCTGTAAAGTGACGGTCCGCGAGCCATGATCCGCCGTCAATGCCAGACGCTGCACGGTCACCACATGGCCCCGCGTCATGGGACGAGGTGGAGGCTGCACCACGCGTCCACACCGCGTCCACAGAGCGTCCACAGCGGGTCCACAACGCGTCCACGAAGTCCTCCACTGCTGCTAGCCGGCAATGAGCCGAGGACTATCGAGTGCGTGTGGAGTTGGCCTGTTTAGCAGCATTGGAGAAACGCAGATGACTGATAAGCTTTCGAAAAAGTGTTGAATAACAATAATAACCAGCGAGGCATTCGGTGAGTATGACAGTTGTTGAGCCCCCTCGCAGATACCGATTTCGGTTAAAAGCGAGCGCAAAAGGATAAAGTCGGGATTCCAAGCGAGGCGTATTTAACCCTCGCCCCGTTGGGGGGCATTTTGGCCCCCCTGTGGTTTTTCCTGAATAGCAAGAAAACGGCGGCGCGCAGCGCCGCCAAATTTTCAGTACCTTCCCGGGCATCAATTTGACACCTTCACACCAAATTTCAAGTCTTAGGTCACCTTAAGTCAGGAGTTATTGAGGTCAAACTGAGGTCATGTTCGAGCAAAAATGAGCAAAAAACATGCAATCTTGAAACGCTCACCAAATCTACAGTTATCAAGCAATTTCACAGTTTTTATATGGTCTAGTAGACAAAAAGCGGCGCTACAAAACCGCTATCTCGGATTTTTCAAAATTTTGAGGTTTTGACCCTAAAAATTCAAAAAATTAATTTTTTTAGAAAAACTAAAAAAAAATCCAAAATTTTTCCGAATTTCGAAAAAACGGAATATATGTCATAGTCCCTGCGCTCTTCTATATACATACCAAATTTCAGATCGATATCTCGTTTTTTGGCCAAGTTATAGCGAAAAAACTGTTCAAAAATGATGACGTCAAATTTTTGAACTCAATTTTTAGCGATTCTTGACCACGTACGGCAAAACAAAGACCACCATTGAACTCCCCGTGACGAGCTGCATCGATTTGATACCCATTTTATGCAAAAATATTAACTTTGAAATTTGACCTAATTTGACCGGACCTTGACCTGACCTTGACCTGACCTTGACCAAAACGTGACCTAAGCTGGCCCCAAAGGCTGCCTGACCCACATAATCGCATTTGTCATGTAAAATGGACCATAAAACATGTATCACACGACACTTTCATATTGTGACCCCCCAGTGACCTGACCTCTGTGACCTGACCTGGTATCAGTGACCTCAAATAGCAAAATATGTGTTTGAAGAACATTTCGCTATCGATGATTTTCAATGAAATCCATTTTACTCGATTTTACAACGCATTTCTTGAAATGCCTGTAAACGGTGAAAATTGGACATTTGACCTGACCTGTGACGTCATCGGTTTGACCTAGGTCAATAAAATTGGGTCACAATGTAGTTCCCTGATAGGGCTATCCAACACCGTTTGCCGCTTGTCGCTAGGTTGCGTGGTTCTCGAGATCTTAGGGGGGGGGGCCAAAATGCCCCCCCCCCCCCAACAGGGCGCGTTGCTCGGCAGAGCCCAACGGGGCGCGGGTTAATTGCCGCTTCACCTCAAACACCATAAATACAGGCGGACAAAATGTGCTGGCGTGTAGTTAGTAGAGAAGCCACTCTTGATTACCTATCTAATATTTATTGAAATGGCAGGCTTACGCATTTCATAAAATAAACCATGACCACACCAATTTCGTATGTGACTACTTGTGCTGATAAACAGCGTATGTTAAGTGAACTAAGCCGTTGATGCGCAATTACAAGATTTGCCAGAAGTGCATGAGAACCAAGTCTGATAACATGCATAGATAATGTATTTAGCGAAACAAAGTGCTGCGGTAGTTTCCGACTTTAAGAATACCGCAAACGATATCAATCTTGAACAGTAATTAAATGCTAAAACATATTTTCTATTTTTTCACCAGTTTCTGCAAACAATTGCTCCTCTTCGTTCTCAGCATACTTTGTGAAAGTTGTTTATGGAGCCACAATGGATAATCCTGGAACTTGCATAATGGATAATCTTTACGCCACTGAATACAAAGCATAAAGATACCTCTACGTATTTTGACATGTTGAATTGCTATGGATTAGGTAATGGAATTTTAAGATTTTATGCATTCGTGAATGAGATAATGAAAACCAGCTACTGTTAGCGCAGAAAATGACATTGTAGTTTTGCATCACCAGCATTAACTTCCGCACCTCTATAACTAACCACAGCTCTCGGCTGTCTTTGACTCTCACAGGTCTCCAAGATGGCGACGCCCACGGCGGCGGCCGGCTCGGCGGAGCACCTGGGTATCAACGTGGAGGAGCTGATCACACGGTTCTCGGCGCTCGACTACGCCGTGTTCGGCATGCTGCTGGCGCTGTCACTGGCCATCGGCGTCTACTTCGGCCTGTGCAAACGCCATGAGATGACGGACGCCGCCGGCTACCTGCTGGGAGGACGGAACATGGGCGTGCTGCCCGCTGCCATGTCACTCATAGCCAGGTACATACCAGTGCGGAGCAGAGACTTGGTGGTTGGTGATGGGGTAAAGTAACTTTTGAATGACTTAAACAATGTGCAAAATGTTGTCTTGACGTTGTCACACTGTTACTGGAATTTCCTTTGGCGTAGTGAAAAATGCGCGTCAAGCGTAAAACCGACTCCAAGAAACGCATCTGCGCGTCAGACGCAACTGCTATCTGCCAGACGACGTGCTGAGCATGCGCGACATAACTTTGTTATCACCATTGTTTTAACCCTCGCCGGCCGAGGGGGGGCGGGTGCCGCCCCCTCCCATAGGGTTTTTTCGCGATAGCTCCGGACACGCTGGAGATAGAGAGCGGAAACTTGGCATACCTGATCTTTGATTCAAGCCGGATCTTTTGACGCCAACCGCATTTTTGGGTCAGGTCAGGTCACTGACCTATGACGTCATAAGTGAACCTCTGCACGGTCTTCAGATGTCGCAACTTCGCAACGCCCTCACTGCCAGAGGAGATGTCACAGGGAAATGAAACTTGCAGTATCTAGTATCCATTATAAGTCTCACAACTTGTATATCTCGGATTTTTCCTAAAGGTCATATGAGGTCAGGTCATTTTCGTGACCTCACCATTATAAGTCAATGGGGAAAAATGAAAACTGCTATTCTGGCGCCGGGAACGATCTCCAACTATCTCAAGCACACATAATCGTGATTTGATGCACTCCTTGCAAGGTTAGATGCGTCATTTTTGCAATGTTGACCTTGCGTGACGTCATTTATGACGTCATCAAGGTCATATTAGTTTTTCGTCAATAACTCTTGATCAAATTGAGCTAGCGAGTCGGGAAAGCCACCAATGGACTCAGGAAGACCTGCCGAATCGAATGATATGCAACATGACCTCTTTCGACCAACTTCGTGACCTGGGGGTGCTGACCTGACCTTGACCTGAGGTCAACACCCCAATTTGACCTGACCCGGACAAAAAGTATATCATTCGACGCGCCTGAGCGAGGCGAACACGATGCTGCCAAAATCGGCGTTCTGCGGCCGTTTTTTGCGAAGTTATTCACCAAAAACTGAACCGTACCTTGGGGCACTTGACCTGACCTCAGAGGTCACCGGTTGACCTAGGACCTTAAAATCGGGTACCAATCTCTGCGTCTCGTAACGGCGCACACGCTCGTTTTTTTTTCGCGACGCGCTAGCTCCATCAGGGGCGAAACGGCGAGGGGGGGGTTGTACCCGCCCCCCCCCCCCTCGGCCGGCGCGTATGTAGAAAACCAATAGGTCCGGCGAGGGTTAAACAAACCACCGCTTACCTCTCTGGCCTTCTGTAAAATTACGACACACAGTTTCCGTGGACGGTCGGTCTCTCAATTGCGTCATTAACCTTGCAACAGCTCAAACAAGTAGCCATCTGGAGCCTGGCTACATCTTTCATTTTCATGCGCATTTATCGCTATACAAAAACTCGCGTGTGGTGTTAAATAAACTCTGCAGATCCGTTTAAAATCCTGCCCCGGACCAAAAGTCCCTGAGGTGCTTGCAGTGGAGGTTCAGTTGGGGGCGTCTGGCGCCGCTTAACGTTGCACTAGACAGGGCACCAGGCAAACTATTTACCCTACATTTACATTGGCGCAAACTTTGTTGACCTGCGTCTGAAATTCCCAGCGTATGTTCCGTGTACGGTGGAGAGCGGCCAATCCCACACAGAGCCCATGTCTCTGTGAGTGTTATTGTGTGTGTTACAGCGGTTTTCTAAGACTTTGCTCCATGAAGGAGGCATTTGTTTGCTGACATCGCAGAGAATTTCCGCACAACAGTGCTGCAGGGCAGTTCTAAGTTAGCAGGGACATCCATAATCCATATGACGCATACCGTCGAGGCTAGCCGTTTTCACGACGGGCTATCTGGCGAATGCATCTAATTTGACCAAATCTGCACCAAATCTTTTTAAGCACATGTATTATTCATGGCATGAATTTATTTCAGTGTTTTAATCGAAAATAATGTGCGATAATGTTCAAAATAAGGTCTTTAAGCATCTGTGCAGCCCAAACTGACAACTTTAAAGAAACATAATGAACCTAATTTGACCTAACCTGCACCAAATCTGCACCTACTCTGCACCAAATGTGTACTAGATGGCCATCGTGAAAACGGCTAATATTGACAGACTGCACAGCAACAATGCAAGCCAGATCAGCAATGCAATAAATGTGGAATAAAACCGGCTCCAGAAAGCGCATGTTTACTTTTTATCCAGACTGTTTGGAATAGAGTTCAGATTCAGCCTTATCACAAACTGCCAGCCACTGTATTGCTGCACTTTTTCTGTATACAACACTCATTCACCAGGCTCTGTGAACCCAAAAATCACTCCGTAGGGAGTTTTGTCTCGTTGAGATCGCTAAAGGTCTGGTAAAACCAATATGAAACAGTGACTTAGATATTTCGTTCTATACATGAAGTTTCAACATGACGTTTCTTTTAGAGTCACCAACCTCTAACAAATAGAGTGTGAACTCCTATCGCAGTCGCTGACGGCACCCGGTAACTGGTCCACAGTTTCATGTCGGCCATCACGCTGCTCGGCACGCCGGCCGAGGTGTACCAGTACGGCACGCAGTACATCGTCATCGGCTTCTCCTACCTACTGGTGATGCCGGCCGCCGCCTACCTCTACATGCCTGTCTTCTTTGACCTCCAGCTGATCTCGGTGTATGAGGTCAGTATCTACCCACAGAATGTCATTTATTTATTGTTTTGCATAAGCGATAAATGACACAAATATGTATATTGATGCAGATGATGACAAATCCTATTTACTATGAGCTCCAAAACAAGTAGAATATGGTACTTTCCATGTCCTTGACCTGTGGTTGGGGATGCCGTGATATTTTCATAGTTATCAATTACACAATATATTGTCTCATTGTTTCAGTATCTCGAAAGACGATTCCATCGTATGGTTAGAACCCTGGGTGCGATTCTCTTCTGCATACAAATGGTAAGCTGCCAATAGCCGTAATTATGCTATGCACTACGTAATTCGGTGCTTGGATCACCACTGGACTTCAAACATTGAATTTCAATGCAGCTATATGTCAACTCCCCTGTCGACATGGTTCACCGACATTCTGCGTCTTTCCTCAGAGTATTTACATGGCAATCGTTGTGTACGCTCCATCGCTGGCCCTGGCACAAGGTAATGCAGCAGCGCATTGGGCAATGCCCTTTGTGTGTTGACGTCGTTTCCCGCACCCCTTCCCTCTCAGTATGTCCCGTCATGGCTCATACTGCGTCGGTGCCGCTTTTGCGCCACTCCCTGCTATTTAGCTATGCTTTGTCATGAAAGTGTTATATGCTTATGGCGCTAGCTAGTATTGCCTGCCCACGGTTTCGCAACCGGAGTAATGTATGTTAATCATTCATAATTGCAATATGCAGCAAATTCCTATTGCTAGTTCTCGCATGAAACTATTTAATGCATAGTGTTCTGGAATGATGAGATTCTTTAAACAGCATTTACCTGCTGAGTTCATAGTTTTACAATACATTCAATAAAAAAACAATGCCGATAGCTTACATCCATCCGTCACTTTAAGTAATTTCGTCACTAGAGTGGTTGACGTGCTCGTACCATTTCGATTTCTATCTGCAGTGACGGGAGTGAGCGTCTACCTCTCCGTATGTCTCATCTTCTTCGTCTGCATTTTCTACACGGCGCTGGTGAGCCACCATAATGCATGATTTTATTATGTTCTCTGGCAATAAAACCAAGCCTTATGTCATAGATAATTGAAAATATTCCATTGTGCAATAGCATAATCTTAAACAGCTAGCTAAATTTGAAAGCAAACAGGCCTCATAAAACCAAATTATCAAACCAAATAGGTCACCCAAAAAGCGCGACATGACCTTCTCCTCCCTTTGCCTCTGTCCAGGGCGGGATGAAGGCAGTGCTCTGGACCGATACCATCCAGATGATCATCATGTTCGGCGCCATGCTGGCCATCATCATCAAGGGCTCGCTCGACGTCGGAGGGTTCGGCAGCGTCTGGCACGCAGCCGACGAGGGCGGACGTCTCGAGTTCCTCAAGTAAGCTGTGTTTACTGCATTCATAGTGAGATTAGGTATGTTAAATAAGCTCACCATGCTATCGCCCACATGGATGGTTTCAGCAACGCCTTTTATAGCAATTAAAAATGCAAAGAGGATTCTATGTACAACCGGTATTTATCTAATTACCTTAACCTTCGCCCCAGTGGGGGGGGGGGGGCATATGTTACCACCCTGTCGCGTTTTTTGCGTGTGGATAAAAAACCGCGGCGCGTAGCGTCGCGCCACTTGGGGTAGCTTTTGGTACATCAATTTTGGACAATGTGTGAAATTTTTGACCCCAGGTCATGTCAGGTCAGGTCACCAGGTCAAGTTAACTGAACAAGCCTAAAAAAAGTTTGCAATCATGTCTAGCCTGCAGTGTTTGTCAGAAAGGTTTGAAACTTGGTGGATTGCATGATGTTATGGGTGCCTACAATTTGTATATCTCGGATTTTTTATATGCGTGACCTAAGGTCAGGTCAGTGGCGTGACCTTCCATTATAAGTCAATGGAGAAAAACGAAAATGCCTCCAGATCCGTGTGTACGCATAGGAACAGTCCAAATATTTCAGAATCACAATGATTTGGACCACCAGTGACGACCAAGGTGTCTTTTTTGCTGATAGCCTCTAGAGAGGTCATCCGAGGTCATTTGAGGCTACAAACAGTTTTTTGCCAATAACTCTGGATTGGAAAAAGATAGAACGCTGGGGTTGGCCTCATTGTGTTTGTCTTGCCGAGACGCATCGATTGATATGCAACATGACCTTTTCCGGTCAGGTCATGACCTTGACCTGAGGTCAAATTTTGAAGTTGACCTTTCAAGGTCAAATTATAGTTCATTCGACGCGTCTCGGCGAGAGGAACACGATTCTGGCAATAGAAATGTCCTAGCTTTTTATAGTCAAAAGTTATTATCGAAAAACAGTTTTCGTAAAAACAGCTATTTTTGGAGTTTTTTCCCTCTGGAGGCTAAACCGTTGACCTGAGGTCATTTTTGATGATTACCTTATCAAAAGAAGAGTTCAAAACCTATCGATTGCTTTTCCATGCGTTTTTCTAGCTATCATAGTTCCTGAGATAATGGCATGCTTTCTGAAAAATATAATGACAATTCGCAAATTTTGACCTTTGATGACCTCTGGTGACCCCAATATTGCTCTAAGACGAAAAATGACAGAAATACTTTCACACGTACGCATCGAGAGCTATCGACTGCTTTTTACCGCGTCTTTCTATCCCTCTTAGTTTTTGAGTTAGAGGTGGGTGGTAACATATGCCCCCCCCCCCCCCCACTAGGGCGAAGTTGGCTGAGACCGCCACTGGGGCGCGGGTTAAGCCTGAAGAATGCACGATACATCCATGCATGAAGTCCTTATCTAAATTTTAGTACGAAACGCAACTGGTAAGAATCGGGTAACGTCTAACAAACACTATCATTGAGTTTTACTAGTGCATATGATAAAGGCTCGAGGCTCGCCCAAAGCCTATCCAACCTATCCAATGCTCGTTGAAGTGAGGCCTGCACGACGGAAGTCCAAATTTAGCCACGACAGAGTGCGTTAACCAGCTGAATGAGAGCCGGTTACTTTTCAACGAGCTTCCAGTGACACTCTCGTCAACGCAAACGCATACGTGACTCACTTTGTGACAGCAGAGCGGGACGGGATAGCAGGGTTGACCTAGGTAAGGCTTTCATTGACGCTAATTATTATTACGAGCGAGCGAGCGCAGCGAGCGAAGTGAGTCTTTTCAATATAACGGAAAAATCTCAGTATGAGCGGCCCGGCCCGGCCCGGCCCGGCCTGTAACGCTTTTGAGAGGCTTATATCTCAGCAACCGCTGGACCGATTGGCCTGCGGTCTTCTTTGTTGGGTAGCCCCATCCCTTCTACCCCGTAATTGACTACTTTTGATACATCTCAGTGACCGTCGTGGCACGTGCCACGTGAAAAGTCAAGGGTGTTCAAGCTGTTTTGCAAAAGTAGTGATTTTGAGAGGCTCATATCTCAGCAGCCGCTTGGGCGATTGACTTGCGGTAATTTTTGTTGGGTAGCAGCATCCCTTCTACCCAAAATAGGATACTCTTGATGCATGTGGGTCACCCCCAGTGCACGTGCAAAATACAACAATAAGAGGTGCCAAATTTGTTCCCATTTCAGTAACTCGGTAATTACTGGGGCGATTTCGCTGAAACTTGGCATACAGGTATAGGCACCCACCAGGCAATGCATTCCCATGTGTTGCGGTTAGGGTGCAACTGCACGTGCGCACGTGCAGGGGGCGTTTCCAGATCTCGAGAACGGCTGGGCCGATTGCGCTCAAATTTGGTACACGGTTGGGGACCAGTTAGTAGGATGCCGTGCAAAAGTCATTTTGGACCCCGTTTGCACGTGCGCACGTGCAGAATGCCGCTTCCAGATCTCAGGAACGGCTGGGCCGATTGCGCTCAAATTTGGCACACCGCTAGCGACCAGTTAGAAGGGTGCTTTGCGCAAGCCCGTTGGAAGCACCCTCTCGCCCTTCCGCACGTGCAGGGCTCACTATCTCGCTCGCTCGTTCTTCGCCCAAAAGGCGTTTTACTGGTGCTTAGTATGCAAGAGAGGAACGAGATAACTTTGAGGACCCAAGTCATTTGTTGAGGCGAGACAATAACATGTAGCAGTTTATCGCTATATCGTATCTTAAAAATGTGATTTTAATGTATCTATCAATGTCACTCTCTAACACCTTGTAACTGTATGACATTGCTGTCACTTCAGGCAAACAGCTAAAATGCTCTCTTATTGCCGTCATAAACCACTGACCTCAGTTTGTGTTTGCAGCTTTGACCCCAGCCCGGGGGTGCGTCACACGGTGTGGACGCTGGTCGTGGGAGGCTACTTTACCTGGATCACCATCTACGGTGTGAACCAGGCTCAGGTGCAGCGCTACCTCTGCGTGCCCACCAAGCGAAAGGCAGCGCAGTGAGTAAGAGAGGAGTGGGAGGGACGCACGGCCCCTGCGGCCTTACACCTCGGCTACTTTTTACCTCGTCCCAGTTATCTTTTATTGTATTGGGTTCCAATAACAGTCGTTCTAAGCCTGGTTAAGCGCTTGTCAATACTGCTCTCCAAGTAAGCCCCTCGGTGATGTATTGAGGCTATTGAGATGAAAGGGAGGGCAGCGTATTGAATGAACACAAACCTCTACTTTAAAAACAGCTATCCTGCTTCAAAGTATCCCAAACAGCTGATATGATAATGTATACAGAGCCGACAGATGTAAACACTGCGACTCGCAGAGATGCCGTCTATCATCCACCCGTGTCTGCCTGAGCTGACCTCCTACCGTGCGCTCGCAGCGCCATCTGGATCAACCTGCTCGGCCTGCTGTTCCTGCTGATCGTCTGCAGTTACGCCGGGCTGGTGATTTACGCCAAGTACCGCACGTGTGACCCTCTCACTTCTGGCTCCGTGTCGACCTCCGACCAGCTGTTTCCGCTGTTTGTGATGGACACGATGGGAGAGATCCCCGGCGTACCGGGACTGTTTGTGGCCGGAATATTCAGCGGCGCCCTCAGGTGGGTAGATCAAGATGAGGGGAGGTGGTTGTCTACGTGGCGCTGATGGTGGCAAGGGGTGGGAACGTGTCACTGTAGGTGGCGAAGAGTTGGATACGCTGTTTCCTGTATTTTAAAATGACATGCTAATCGTTTTTAGGTGCGATTATGAGCTTTGAAAGCAAACTTGCACTCTACAGCCACTTAGCTCCAATAAGTACGTCTATCCGTTTGTAGAGTATATCATCAATCCGGGACCTGAACGCGCCACCAAAGATGACCTAACAGCTTCTGCTCCACATTGCCAGCACTGTGAGCTCGGGAATCAACTCACTGGCAGCCATCACTCTGGAGGACTTCATCATCCCCAACAGGAAGGAGCCCCTCTCACACGAGCGGCAGGCACTCATCACCCAGGTTCTGGCCGTCGTCTTCGGTACGTTTGTGACCCGAGTTGTGCCCAGCTCAGAAACGTTTACTGTACTATTGAGACTGCAAGGTGGGGCATTCCACGATAGATCGACCAAAAAAACTTAAAATTTATGCCCGCATTTTTTTATTTTTTGCTTAAAATTGGTCTAATGGGTTGTGATGGGCGGGGAACCCAGCTGTGGCAAGGATTTTTTTCTTCGAACAACGGTTTCCGAGATATAGCCTCGGGCAGTTCCTGGAGGTCTCGCTGCAACCCTATGTTTGGCGGTTTATAACTCAGAAACTATTGGTTTTCAATGGTAAAAACTTGATATGGTTCAACTCGCGATCAACCAACAAACGTTTTGGCTATCTCGGATTTTCGATTTTTGAAAATTTTGATCACGTGACATCTTGACCTTTTTTTCGAAGAGTGACCTTGATATTTTCCCAACTGAAAGTCGCAAATTTGTCTGATGACAATTAAAGCCTTATCAATTGTCATTCATATGCGATAATAAAAAAGTGGCTTTCGGCCTGCGTTGACCTCAGGTCAGGTCATTTTTATGACCTTCCCATTATTACGAGCGGGAGCAACAGCGAGATCTCGAGAACAAAGCAAGATAGCGACAAGCGGTAAACAGCACAGGGTACACATGGATAAGGTCTACAATTTTTACTTTGGTCATTTTCAGGTCAGGTCAAAGATGACGTCACAGGGGTAAAAAGAAAGTCTAAATGGCGGCACTACATATATATGAAGTTTTTCTCGAATAACTTTCGAAGTATTCCAGCTAGGAACAAACTAATAGCACCATCGTGATCCTCTCGTCGATCCGCATCGAAACATGTGTATGTTGACCTCGAGAGGTCAAGGTCAAAAGTTGACCTTAGGTCACGTGACCTTAAGGTCATCATATATATCATTCGATGGGCCTTGACGAGCTGAACACAATGAGCCTATCCGCGCGGCTGTATCTCAAACCTGTAAGGAGTTATTAGCAAAAAAACATTTGGTGACCTTTAATGACGTCACATGACCCACGAGCAACGTCACAGTTGACCAAGAGCAAAAAAGGTCTCAAGGTAGTCAGAGTTAGTCGCATATGGAGTCACTCATGGTATATTAGGCAATTCCGACGCATTTTAGTGTAAAAATAAGGGAGCTGATTTTTCCCCTATTGACTTATAATGGGGTGGTCAAGAAATTGACCTGACCTCAGGTCATCGGTATCGAAATTCAAAACGAACTGGCGCTAGGCGAAAGCAAACGGATTGATGCCTATTATTAGATCAAAAGGTACAGCCAAAAACGGAAAATTCTTGTGTGTTCAACGCGTGACCTCGGATAACCTTTCAGCGGGTCACTGATACAAAGCTGCACCAGTGCCATCAGTAATAGCCTAACTCAACATGATTCAAAAGTATTTGAACCGGTCAGATGCGTTTCGGTGGCAGCCGATATTTCTGCCATTGACTTATAAAGGATAGGTCAAAGAATGACCTGATCTCAGGTCAATGCAGGCCGAAAGCCACTTTTTTATTGTAGCATATGAATGACAATTGATAAGGCTTTAATCGTCATCAGACAAAATTGCGACTTTCAGTTGGGAAAATATCAAGGTCACTCTTCGGAAAAAAAGATCAAGATGTCACGTGATCAAAATTTTCAAAAATCGAAAATCCGAGATAGCCAAAACGTTTGCTGGTTTATTGCGAGTTGAACCATATAAAGTTTTTACCATAGAAAACCAATAGTTTCTGAGTTATAAGCCGCGAAACATAGGGTTGCGGCGTGACCTCCAGGAATTGCCTGAGGCTATATCTCGGAAACCGTTATTCGAAGAAAAAAATCCTTGGCACAGCTGGCTTCCCCGCCCATAACAACCCATTAGACCAATTTTAAGCAAAAAATAAAATATGAGGGTGTACTGCTTTGGCCGATCTATCGTGGAATGCCCCAGGTGGCTGTGACACTAAGCGAGCTGTGTGAATAAAATGGGCGGTCTCTTAAGTTGACTTTGAGCTCAGTAGAGGTTAAATAGTAGTTTCCGCAACAACTTATTTTGCTTCTGACAAAGGCGGTGGTTTATCAAACGTTACATTCGTCATGAACATACAACTGGCCGAAGCAAAATGTTCAGTGGTCATCGAATATTGCGCTTTCTAAAGTGAAAATATTCGTTTGTCGACAGGAATTCTGGGATTCGTCCTGGTCTTCGTAGCCGAACAGCTTGGAGACATTCTACAGGTAAGCCATGTTCAAATTATATATAGGTATTTGTTTGCCTATAGGTACTTACCAAATCATTTATGTTTTTATTTTTTAATATCTCGTTGACTTTCGACGATGACATGTAATAAATATGAGACAAATGGACTTGCATTCCTACAAACAAGACAAATGGATCATACTTCAGAGTTATGGTTAGAGGTCTGAAATGCGTGTCAACATAGCCCTTCACCAGTGTCAGTCACTCGCCCCAGTCTCCAGCGATCTAACGTTAGCCTCAAGCCATGCGGCACAGCATACCTTCAGGCGTCTATTACTAGCGCCATCTATGAGCGGGGAAATAGGTAGCTGCGTCATGACCCGGCATTGGTCCGCTTGTTTCATTACAGGCAGCGCTCAGTCTATACGGAATGGTGGGAGGTCCTCTTCTCGGACTTTTCACCCTTGGAATGTTCTTCCCCTGGGCTAATTATAAGGTGAGACTCAAAGTAATTAAAATATATGCATCATGTATTTACGCCTCCTGTTTTATGATCGTGAACGTCAAGCGCTGACATAAAAAGTGCTTACGTACTACGTAGAATGTGCTGTATCTCTGAATATAATCCTCGTCGGTACGTATCAGACTACATAAATGCCGTCATAATTGTCACATGCTTGGGTATCACAGCTTGAAAACGTCTCCCTAATGATAAGCGGCCATTGATCACGGAAGCAATCATGTTTTTGTCAAGCTACACTGCAGGACTGCATATTTTCCAAAATTCTATGGTCTTTTCTGTCTGAAGCTAATGAAGCTGATAAATTAATTAACCTTCTAACTTGCATACATGATATCTCACACTCTTATACACATATTTACAAGCACCAACATTTTAAGAAATGTTCTTGTTGACAACTATAAATTAGCTATCTTTATTCTCCTGTCTCACTCTGTGTCTCCCTCAGGGCGCCATGTCGGGAGTCTTCTCCGGGCTGTTCGTCATCTTCTGGATAGGAGTCGGGTTCCAGGTGGAGAAGGCGTTCGGCAGGATCCACATCCCGAAGCTGCCCACCTCCATCGACGGCTGTCCGCGGTATAACAGCACTGAGGAGGACGTGCTGGGCCTGGGGACCACGCCGGTGCCGGGCCTGACGACCACAGAGGAGCCGGAGCTGTGAGTGGGGACTCGACTGGGCGCTGAGGTCGGCTCAACTGGGTTATCATAAGGGACTTCAACCTTTACACTTTCATTTACAATACATGTCAACGCTTTCGTGTATACCATCCTTCAGTGGTTATTATGACGCTTGTTTCCGGGCTGGAGGCTTTGTAAAAAGAAGCTTAAAATTGTTATTAGCATCGTCAATAAATTTAAGTGAAATATGTGTTGTGCTTGGTTCTTGATTGCCCCATCGTTTATTTTATCACTGCCCTTGCTTCGCGCAGGGAACACGCTGCCGGGCCGTACTACATGTCGTACATGTGGTACTCGACGGTAGCCTCTACCGTGGTGGTGGTGGTGGGCATGCTGGTTAGCCTCGCCACGGGAGCGCAGGACCCTCGTCGGCTCGACCCTCGCCTCATCATCCCGCTCGGTGACAAGTTCAAGTTCCTGCCGCAGCGCTGGAGGAATTTCCTCAACTTCGATGTCGGCATCAATTACGTAAGTGATTCAATGTGCTTGATAGTGAGTATGCGGTGATGGTTATGTTACGGTGGTTGTGATTTCATTCGTATTACCACGCATTACTGTCAAATAATGATGTTTCATGTCATGATGGTGGTGGTCTACGTCACAGTGGTGGTGGTGGTGGTGGTGTAGGTCACTAATGTGGTGATATATGCTATGCTATGCAGGCGATTGTTCAAGTCATCATGGTGATGGTTACGCCATACAGGTGGTGGTTAATGTTCAATGAATGTTAAATATTTCTTTGTCGACCGTCTTCCACAAGTAAAGTCGATCACACCCTTTAGTTCACCACCGTGCGATCACTCCCCGTTTCACTGTCTGTGTTCGGTGGGCGGCAGGAGTCGCCAAAGGCCGAGGACCTGGACTCGGCGTTCGCCCACCTGCCCACCACTCCGTCCACCTTCCCATTGGTGGAGGTAGTCAAACGGCCCGCGGTCAGCGTGGATCTGAACGGAGACACAGACAACGGCTGTAAATACACGGCACTGCTTGGACAGCATGGGATCTGAGAGATACCTAACTAATGCATGGAGTGTGTGAGGTGCCGGCACGAAAGCATGCAAGTGCTTTACATAGTTTACAAAAAGCATTCAAAGAAAGATATGGGTCATGGGGAGCGTACCTAAGCGGTAGAAGATGCTAATAGTGCATGCAAAATGCGAAATACTTCACGGATGTCATGCCCGTTGCTCAATACGCCATTGTGGAAGATGACTAAACGAGCGAGTGAGCACAGCTTATCGCATGCTTTTTGTCGACCTCGTGTTCGATGTGGGCAAACTTGTGCAACGGGGATACTGTTAATGTAAAATGGGTAAGTTAACTCTGGATGATTTCTAGGTTGTTGGGCTTTTAGTGAAAACCATGGCTTCTTTCTCTGGTCTATCAACAGAGACAGTTAGAAAAAAGATGAAAACGTCGCTTGCAGTGCTATCAGCAGCTTTTTGCTTAGACAGCACTATATAAATATCAGTTCCTTTCAGTTATGACAAAACTAACGGGTGGAGGCGGCATGGCGGCGCCCAGACGGCATGACTTGTTTGAGTTGCTTGAAACGATCGAACTTTTTGTTGTCCTGAACTTCTCTCATTTTTTTCATAAGCTTTAGTTGCCATATCAATGTCTATGTATATTTCATTGATTAAGTAAATGTGAGCATGTTGTTGGTTTATTACAATCGCACGTTTAATCCAATGTTGAATTACACTTATTTACAGTCATAATATTTCATATCCGTCGTAAGCAATAGATGCGATCAAAAAGGATCCTGTCAACGTCTTGTCTAGGCCAAAAATGGCACAATACTCCTATTGACAATTATTTGGTGTATTTCATAGGGCAAGAGTGATAAAACTATTGAGCTGGAGACCAACGGTACAGCAGACGTTGGCCTCGATAACCCAGCAGTGGAAGTCGACTGAAACAGAACTGTTTGTGATGTGAGAGTGGCAATTGTAG